TCTAGTCCTCATCGCAGCCAGCCACAGAAACGGCGCAAGTGAACTAAACCCTAAAGCAGATCGACGAAAGACGGCGCCGATCACTGGACGAAATGATCACAATTCAAGACAACAACAGGAGATGCGAAAACGCACATGCCGCAGCATTTGCAGGACCCAAACGCAGCGCCCAAACTTCACACACGAAGAGCAGCTGTTGCATGCGTGCAGTTGCATGCAGATGATGTTGCTGTTACTGGCCAGGGCTTCATCATCCTTTTTCGCTTCTTTCCCCGGCCCAATCGCGACAAGACTGAAACGCAAGGAGTCACGATACAGCACGCAGACGTCCAAGAAGCCAGCAGCGGTCCCGCTGCGGCACTACTGCAAACCCGATGCCGTTCTTTGGAAGCAAAAAAAGCACAAGAGGATTCTGCGTGCAGTATCCAATGAACTGTAAGCTGTCGCGCGTCTATTGGTTCTTTCTCTTGTCTGGTCAGACCTCAACATTACCAGGCCGTGACCCCGCGCCTCCGCCCACCGCCGCCACTTCCTCCTTGTCGCCTCTTACAGACGCCTGCAGCGCCAGCGTTTCCGAGGCTGCATCGCAGGGAGGTTCTGCTGTGAGGATGCCTTGAGATGGGTTGCAAGGGGTTTTGCTTTTGTCAGTGCTCCTGCCTTTAGAAGCCGTTTCCTGCTTCTCCGCTGGTGCGGCGGCATGGCGTGACGGCCTCCTTTGGCAGCATGACGTAGGCGCCCGAAATGCATGCACAAGGCAGAAAAGACTGTGAGACGAGAATAAAGTTGGGAAGCTAGTGGAAGTCGCAGCTCCCCGCGCTGTTTCCTTCACCTGAATACTAGCGACTTCAATCGCTGCAGCACCCTGCATCGTGCTGCAGGTGCTGCCCAGGTTTGGTACCCCTGAAGTGATTGCGTACACCGTCGATTCGTGTTTACGGGGGCAGTTGCGAGGTACAGTGAGAGAACTCGTCATACACGACAGCGTAAGCAGTAAGTGATAAACTGCTGCACCGCCCCACAGAAGCATGAGCTTGTCAGGGATACCAATGCGGATGTTCAGCTGCCACACGATCACACTATCAAATAAAGCCACGTGCACACGCACTGTGTTCGTCAGCAAAAAAACAGTGTGCGCTCTCCAGCCCTTAAACCCAGAAAGGCGTAGATGCCAGACCACTAGCCTATCGCCCCCAGCAGTGCAGTGTACATACAGAAGTACGTGTACTAATATAGGCTAAAATACGTTATGTGTGAGGATACAGCCCACTTCCCAATACCAGTGCCACTGCTGCTGCTGCAGACACCTTGGCGCTGAGGCAACGAGGGCCGGCCACATAGCACTGCAGCTCCCATTGTCTTGCGCGCGAGTTGGGAATCGCCCCTCAATGTGGTCATTGCAACCCCATGAAAAATTGGCCATGATCCGCTACCAGCCTGCAACAGACACGTGCGCGTGAAGATAGCATTCTGTCAACCCCCACCAGGCGTGGCCCATGCCAAATATGTGAAGAGGGGAAGCGTCTCGGCGCGCCGCTCAGATGGCCGTTGGTAGAGAAAGGCGCATGGCCATGCCGATATGCCAGCAGCAGCCAGAGAGCATGTACGCAAGGAGATATAAATCCCTCTGCACAAAAGGCAGAGTAATTGTATACGAAATTTTGTGCCAAGGACAGCATCACTCGTTGTTAGCGCACACGCCTGTAGCCGCTCCCGCTGAGTTGAGAAGGAGAAGATGTCCCCGGGAAACGGTTTTGATCAAGCGCTCCTTTGCAGCCCACTCTGGGTAACTTTCTTATGGCCATTTGGCATAGCATTATCGGTTTTCGGGAAGTCTGCGCTGCGTTTTGCTTGTTTCCAAGGTACCGGTCTGCTCCAGCTGCTCCTTCTGGCAACGCAGTTGCTGCTGTTTTGCGCGGAGAGCCCAGCGACGCTGAGGTGATTCCCTCAGCTGTTTTAGAATACCAACTTTGACTTCAAGGCGACATCTCCAGGTTGGTGGCAAGTATACCTTCTAAGCAACGCGTTGACCCGAAAACCAATGGCTCTCCCAATGTATGACGAACTTGTTGAGTTGTTTGCCCATCTGCGAGAGTCGCATATGGTGGAAATCCACAAAAACCAACTCGTCCATGGTAAAAGTAATTGCCAGGCTTCCTCCGTTGTAATGTCTTGCTTGGCGTTTCCGCTCATTTTTCATGTTTTCCAGAGTTTTTGCAAGCTTCGGCAACTGAGGACGTGCGGCGCTGGCTTTTAACAACCAGGTCCACCGTCAGTTCAGATAACAGCACTTCAATGTAGACCAGGGGAGCAAGAGAACAATGGGTCGAAGAGTGCGCTGTTGTAGTAAATCCATTGCGCACGAAGGGAAAAATCTAACCACCCTGATGAACTTGCGGGGGGTGCAGAGTCGCAAATACTGCACGAGGGTGAAGTTACTGCTTTCAGTTTGTGGGCCTGCCCCAGGGTTGTTGACGGTACTCATTTTGTGGTGGGCGCTGATCTGCTCCATGAAATGATTTCAGT